AACAATAGATTGTGTGCTGAAGACTTAAGAGTTATTTCTAAAATATGGCAAATTGAGGGCCTCAAGTTCCAGTTTACTAAATGAACGACAAATTAGACTTCCTAATATTCTGCAGTGATGTAACTGATCATTAACTCAAAGTGTTAGCTCAGTGAAGGGCTGGGGAAGGGGAGGATTTGGCCAATTGGTACCAAAATAAGACCTGACAGTCAGGCACGCAATGACTCTATTGCTATTCCAAGTGCAGCATGTGGAAGTCAGCACTATCATCACTTACAGGAAATGCAAAATCTGAGCCCTATCTTAGTTTGTGAATTCAAATCTGCCTTTTTAAGCTAATGAACACACGTTCAAATCTGACAAACATTTCCTCAGAAACACACACACACACACACACACACACACACACACACACAGCAAAGCAAAGCAAAGCAAAGCAAAGCTAAAGCTTCCACTCCCCTGCACTTCCATCAAACCCCCACTACAGGGACTGCCTTTGATTTTGGCCTCCAAAATGTATCAAAGAACAAACTGTGCGATTTTCCCCAAGTCTCTTCTTCACTCTGCACAGGCTGAGCCTAGCACAACTAAACAATAGTATACGGATTAAACAGTACTGCCTCTGGGCACCAATATTGGCTACAAAGTGGAAACGCAATCAAAAAAGATAATGCAAGGAAAGAAACACTCTGAAAATGTGGCTTAGCAATACCAATCACAATTATTTCTAAAACCTTTTGCCACATATACTTTATTACTATGAAGGAAAATCATGATTAAGACAATAATTTACAATACAGTTGATTATTTTGTAGAAGTATATTCGATTACTGGTAATCCCAAATTCATGGTCAAGGCTAAACTCTGGACTTCTGCCTTTATATCTCCAGGATGAATATGTAACACAGTACTATCATAATTGGGAAAAGGGAAGATTTTTTAGTCTTAATTCCACACTGAACTTTTAGTTTAAAAAATTCTTAAGCATTGCTAGAGTAGAGAAGCAGCTTTTTTGGGGCCCAACATTGCACTCTCCTTTCTAGGTCCAAGTCTCATGCCTTGAAAAATTTTCCCAGTCATCACTCCTAATTCTGTTTCTCAAGACACTTTCTTTAGACGTCCATATGACACACACAGGTGGAACTGATTTGTTAAGCCTTAAGCTTCAGAGCCCAACCACATAGGTTAAAATTTCCCATTTGTCCATTATTAGCTATCTGCCTTTGGCTAAAAGACCCCCTTCCATGCTATAAAATGTAGAAACTAATATCATAGAGTTGTTGTGAATATTATACAAAAGAATGCAAATAAAACACTGCAATGTCTGGCACATAATAAATAATGTTCATTATTATTATTGGCATCTCACGGAGACTGGCTTTGATTAGAGTTGGTTATATATATATCTCTCCAACCTACTGCATTGCAAGCAACATGTTTAAAGCCCAAGGAGCTGGCATGCAGATTTATAAATTGTAGACATACAATAATATTTGTCAAACTGGTCTGAAGTTATGCCAGGAAGCGGAAAGGGAGGGTACTGGAAACAAACTTAATGTACTTTATGATTTTACTCAGGGTCAAAGTTTGCTATGTTTTTCTTTCACTGCCAAAATACATTGTCCCAGACAACAAGGTTGTTGTCAAGTGGGGCTATTTATGGAACCAGATGTTCTGTTCAGAGATAGCAAAATTATCCTATGAAGCATTCAAAATCTCCATTTTGGTCCCTAACTGAGTAGAGAGTAGAGACTAAATTTCAACCAGAGCTACTGACCAAACTAGGTGCCCTGGTATGGAGCCACTTCAGCAATTAAGATCATCTACTTGCGGCCAGGGATATAGCTCAGCAGAACAGCGCCTGCCTGGCAAGTGCAAGGTCATGAGTTTGATTCCTGGCCGCAAAAAAATATGGTGCTGCAATCCTGTAATACCAGCTATCTGGGAGCCTGAGGCAATAGGGTAGTAAATTCAAAGCCAGCCTGGATGAATTAGTGAGATGCTATCTCAAAAATAAAAATTTTTAAAATGGCTGGGGATATAGCTCAGCGTTCCTTGGCTTTGGCTTTGGCCTCCCTTTCTGGGGAAATAAAAGATTATCCACCTAGAAGACTCCCACCTACATCTTCACAGACTGTAAGAGTTTTATACACCACCAGGGAGGAAACCCAGGGTTCTTTTACTTTTCTCTTGTTTACTCTCCTGGGAATTAAGCCCAGAGTATCACACATGCTAGGTAAGTGCTCTACCAATGAGCTACATTTCCAATTGTTTGTTTGTTTGTCTGTTTTTGAGGCAGGATCTCACTAAGTTGCCCAGGCTGGCCTCAAACTTGTGATCTTCCTGACTCAGCCTTCTGAGTAACCGAATTACAGGTATGTGCCACCATGTCCAATTTGAATGTTCATTTTTAAACCAGCTTCCTGACTCTTGAATACTGCTAAAAGAATAATACCCAATTCACTAGGTAGTTGCTGAATGGCCATTAAAGATCTGAAGGTGCTAGTGGCTGGCAAGGACCTTCTGTACGTCCTTAAGAATCTAGTGTGTGGTCATTCTCAGGAAGCTTAGCATTATCCCTGAAATGGATACCAACTTTGAGAACCCGTGCCTAGGGTCACTCATAATGGTGGGTACGACCACTCTGCCAACTCTGGAGATTTGCAGATCTTGTGGAGAAGTTTATAGAATGCCCCCTTTCAGCACTGGTTACTAAATCAGAATGTGGCTCCTCCTGAGTCAGAATTCAGCATCTGCCTACTTCCCAGATTGCTTTTTGAACCAGGTCCTCTAGGACTGTTATATGGGTCCCTGCACCAAAACTGCCTCCTGGGCCTCTGTTGTGACTGAGGTATCTCTCCCACAGTCTGCTCATACTGACAATAAAATTGCCATGACTTTGGAAACTGAAAAACAAATGCTCTTTGAGCACATTCAAGCATGCACATTCAAAGACAAAGAAATTATAATCAGAAGAGGAAGAGTGATACAGTGTGCAGGCATGTAGATAAGCATGAGCAGCACTACCTCAGGTATAAAGGATGATTACACAGTAGAGACATTAAGACGGGTCCTAATCCAGGTTCAAAGGGTTAGAGAACGCTTACAGGGGAGAATAATGCTCAAAATCAAGCTTGAAGGAGCAACAGCTAAGATTGATTGACCACACTACACACTGAGTCCATTCTAAGGAACCTTAATCAGTTCTTGTGCAATCCTGTGAGGTGGGTATTAAAATACTCTTCATTTTAGAGATAAGGAAACTGAGGCACACAGTAAATGATGGATCCAGGATTCAAACTTGAAAAGGTTGGTTCCAGAACAAAGGGGAAGAAGAAGAGGACCACATGTCACTCAAGCCCTTGTAATATATTCTGAGAGACAGGAAAGAAGCAGTTCTCTTGGGGAACTGAAAGTGGCTTAGTGAGAACTAGCTGGGGGTGGGGACAAAGTTCCGAGATGACCAGGCTTGCTCTGCAGGTTAGAAAAGAAACCAGAAGCAGAGGATTTCTGGACTGGTTTAGACTTTCAACATTTGGTTGTGGATTCTTGTCACCTAACCCCTCCCAGTCTCAATTTTTCCCTTCTGTAAGAAACCAAAATAGTAGTATCTGCTTCTGTAACATAAAGAATGGTTATGAATAACAAATGAAAAAAAAAATACATGTGAACTTGATTGCAAAGTTCAAGTTCCTTTACAGATTTGAGATTTCATCAGTATCATTTCCCTCAGGGCTTCAGGGGTTTGATAACTGAGAATCTAGGATCAGGGAGAGACCTCTGAGGAAAGCAACAGTATGCTGCAGTAGAAACATCCTCAGGACCTGTGTAGGCCTGCCTTGGAAGACCAGCACCACTTTCTGATGTTACTTTCAGAACCTCAACTTTTTCATCTGGAAAATGGGGACAGTGATGATAGTATTTACCTCATAAAGTTGATGTGAGGAATAAGTAGCATATAATAAGCTTGGAACAGTCCCCGGCACAGAAAAAAGACTTAGAAAACCTGAACAACTGCATTATTAGAATTAGTAAGAAGTCTGTTAGCTATTCATCTTATTCCTCTATGTTCTATGTGATAAAAGTGTGGAGATATTAGAAGTCAGAGATGATGAAGTTTGTGTTTGTGACAGTTAGTTGTACATTCGGTCACTATTACAGAGATTATTCCTGGAACTCAAAGACTGGTAAGCCACGGTTCTCAGTCCTGGCAGAAAATGCCCAAAAGAGGTAAAAGACAGAGGCTGCACACCATTCGAGCAAACCAGACTGCTCTAGTAGTTTTCAGGCAAAATCTTATCGCAGTAAGTGCCACGCGACCTGCTTTTTAAAGGCAAAACTCTTCCTATTCTTCCTTGCCCACCCTCCCACCCCTCACGTTGACATCTGTGCTCCCCCACACATCTCAAGAAACTCTCAACCTCTTTTTGCAAGACACTCTGGGATCCTGTTGTGACGGCCTCTTGCTACATGACCTTGTCGTTCTAACTCTGGTAGAAAAGGCTTTGCTAATTTCACAACAGGAAAGTATGCAGGAAATTTGAGCACAAAACAAATCTAGGCACACAAACCAGTATCTCCCAGCAAACACCCTGAGGCACGGACCCGACCTGAGGCTAGACAACCAACTGAACTAGAGATGAAGCAGCTGCCTCTTCAACTGAGAGGAACTGCAAATGTTATTTGCTTCTAAAAAACCAGATCCGCATACAAATTGATTATGAATATTCACAAGCTCCTCCAGCTGGCTCAAGAGGCACTCTTGACTACAGCTCTGAGCTCTGTTTCCTAAAAAGTTTCCCCAAGTTTTTTCTCTGCCTCCTCAAAGGGAAGAGGGTGGACACATTAATTCAGGGCTTTCTGCCTCTTGCTCTTTCAAGTACTTGCTTTTAGTATGAGCTTTTCTCTTCTCATCTCCATGTCTCTCTCTCTCTCCCTCCCCTCCTCCGTGCATTCCACCCCCCCCCAGAAGGATTCGGATCAAATCGTTTTGGTCTTACCCTTTGTACCTTCCATGAGTAGCAGCTTTTGTTTTCTTCCTCTTTCCTCCTTTTGGAGTGCGTGTGTGTGTGTGTGTGTGTGTGTGTGTGTGTGTGTGTGATGTTTTTACAGCCTCTGCTTGCTGTGGTCGATCACAGTGAGAGAGGTACTCAGGATCAGAGATATAACAGACCCTTGAGCTTGTGGGAGGGGCTAAATTAGCCTACCCCGTTTTGGAAGGAACTTCAAACCCTATCTTTTTCATTGACTAGAAAGGACAGATTGGCTGAGGAGTCCAGCAGCTCATTTCCCTAAATTTACTCTAAGGATTCCCTCAGGGTTATGCATTTTTCTACTCTTGAAACAGAATGTGTGCAATCTCTCTCTCCTCTCTCTCTTTCTCTCGCTCTCTCCTTCCCTCTTTTTACATCTCTCCTCTGCTCTATTACAGAAATCCATTTTTTTTCCTTTGAGAAAGTCATATTGGGGGGGCAAGGAAAGTCATTAGAAACAAAAGAAGAAAAAGACGTTTATGTATTGTCATTATGAAAGCCAGACAGGAGACTAACTAGTTGCTTCAATGCCCCCCGGAAAAGTTTGTTCTTTCCCCTTAAAACCCAATCACTCCTGGTCCTCCTACGATCATGATAAGCAAATCTGTTCAAGGCTCATCATAGCAGAACAAGAAAGCACCAAAGTAGCACCAAAGGAACTGGAGGAAAAGCCTATGTTGGCTGGAAGGTGGTCAGACCAGAGAGGAAGCTGCTCACTGGGAACCTGTCTAGCTGTGACCTAATGGAAGTTGTCCACCTTTTTCAGCCTTTGACTTCCTATCTCCAGAATTCTGTAAGCACGGATTGCCACATCCAGATTTTGCAAGATGGTCCTAATGCAGATAAGGAGTGAACCAAATTACTTTTAAACTGGGTATGCAAAATTATTTTGAAATCAAGTCAAAGGTTAATCCTTGGAGAAGAAGGTAAGTCTTGAAGAACCAGAATCACTAGAGCAGATTCTCTTTTCACAAACCTGCTTATAGGCCTTAGTTAACATTTGAGGTTTGAAAGAAGCCTCAGATATCTAGCCTAATCCAAGGTTATAGCATTGAAGTCAATCACAAGTAGATTCCACTAAACAAAGAAACAAAACCTAAAGCAATAAAATTTATCATTTCAATGGATTGAAACATATCAGATATGTTCATAATCATACTAGATAGAAACTATACCTCTGCAACAAAATCATTATTCTGAAAACAAATAATTATGGCATAAGGAGACTATCAACATCCAACTTGCCTTTGCGGTACAAATTCTGCTACAAGACACCAAATGGCTCATCAGGGAAAGTTTAAAGTCCTCTATATGATGAATAACATTGATAGCATTTAGTGTTATCAGTTTCTTTGCAAATACCTAATAATGTCTAAACATAATAAATCTAAGCAATAATCACCAATCAATGCTAATATCACAAAAGGAGTACAAATATTCATTATTCATTATGTGTCTTGTAATGAAGGCATGTCATACCCTTTGAAGCTTTTTGCAAAGAAAAATAAATAAGTTTCTAGACCTAAATACCAGTGTAAAGAAAATACAGAACATAGATAAGCACACTAGAAGAAACTAGAGAAAGGCAATGAATAAAATCTCACCCACAGGAAACATTTTTACGAAACAACTCAGTTTACTGAATAAATAAATTGTACGGAAGGAAACAGAAGGAAGCACATTAATTTATATTTAAAAGAATTTATAAAGATTAACCAATTAAATGCAATATCAGGACCCTGAAATTCTAATTCAAGCCACTTTAAAAGAAGCTTTAAAATGGAGAAAAATTTTTTTATTTACAAAAAAAGATTAAGATAAAAGAGGACATCACAACACAGGTCAGAACAGAACAATTTAAGCAACATAGTGTTTCACCACAAGACAACTCGACATAACAGTAGCTACCATAGTGTCTATTTCCTTGAAATATTTGAGTATACCTTCATACACTATAGTATCAAACATAACAAGACAGTATAAAACCATTCAAGAGAATGAAAGTATTACAGGGTATTCAGAACCAACTAACAGAAAATGAACAGTGGTTACTATATTATCTCCTTGTCCATAAAAATTTTTGTTTATACTATCACATATAATAAAATAAAATGGAGAAAATTTAAACACTAACTAGATGTAATATTATAGAATTCAGAATTATAAATTTTTATGATAACATTGTTATGGTTATAATTTTCAACAATTCTTATTTTTGGAGGTAAATACTAAAATATGTAGAGGAAATTTGGGGTTAATTTCAGAGAGAGTGAGATACAGATTAAACAAGATTAGGGATGAGTTAACAGCTGTTGAGTGACAGAACTGAGCTGAACATGGTAGCACATGCCTCTCTCTAATCCTAGCACTCAAGAGGCTGAGGCAGGAGGATTGCTGTGAGTTTGAGACCAACCTGGGCTACAAAGTGAGCTCAAGTTCAGCTTGAACTACATAGTGAGACCCTGTCTCAAAACAAACAAACAAACAAAAGTAATAAAAAATAAGTAAATAAAATAAAGCTGGGTGACAGGTAATTTAGTAGGGTAACAGGTGCTATTATCTCAAATTTATATCTGATATTTTCTATGATAAAAGGTAAAACAATTTTTTTTACATGGGAGATGATTTGACAACATGCTGTGGAATTATTACAGGAATAATACTTAGCATTTAGAAATTTAATTGATCATTTACTAAGTGCCCCTATACCAAACTGTTTTGGGGCTGAAGGATGACAAGATTTAGTTAGAAAAAAAAAAAAGAAAAGTATTGTAATCTGGTATGATGATTATCATAAAATAGGGTAAGCATTTCACTGTAGGCACAAAGAGATAAAAGAAATAATTTGCAAGAAAAATGAAAACAATTCAACAACAAATTGATCAAAGCTAACAAATTATTGTACCAGTATACGCTAGAAAAATATTCACTGTGCAATCTTTCTATAATCAATAAATCAGTCAGCAAAATTAAAATTTCCACAGTTTAGTAAATAAGGAAAGGAAGAGGGGTTGAAGGCAGGGGCGTGAGTTGAGTAAAAAAAGAATAATCAAGATATATTATGTACAGGTACAAATTCCCTATGATGAGTATGATCACTATGTATATTGAAAATGTACCAATAAGTTTTTAAAAAATTGTCTTTAGATTGCTTTATGGAAACTAACATTGGATATAAAAGTCAGAAATGGAAAGGAGGATTGATGTTCTGTTTCTAATTCTCTATTAAAACAAAAATCATGAGTCAAAGCTCATGATTTCCTCCTCATGAAAGGAGGAGCTTTGGTTCTATGTATCCTAAAATAAACAGCCAGAGTAGCTCTTGCACAAAAAGACCAGCTTTGCCAGCTATAAGAAAACCTGTATTCATTCAGCTTTTATTATACATGAATATAATACAATGTTCTTCATAATATTTGACATGGTGTTTAAAATGTTACATACTTTTGGTATTTTTAAACAAGCTGGTTGATATCAAGGTTAAAGGGAGACTAAAGGCTGTGTTTTTATAATTTATTTATTCACCTTTTTATTTTAAAGATAGTAAAATCCAACAAAACAAAACAGCAAACTTGGTACAGAATTTCAAAGCAGGATACTAGGATATTCTAGCCTACTATATTTCGTTATCTTCTCAATAGCTGTCTATTCCATCAGGTATAGCAATGTAACCAAAACCAAAACAGAATAAAACCAATCAAAACAGAATATTGAATAAAGCAAAATGATCAGAACAAAGCAAACAGTGAGAACAATATTGGACTTCAAAGGCAAAGCAGAAGGAAATCCCCCCTCTTTGCAACACTGCACACTGTCATCCTCCCAAGAGATGCTCGGATCGCTGGCTCCAGGCCTCCAAATCAACTGGACAATACAAACATTTAGCTGCTTTAGGTGAGTGACTCAGTTGCGATCAACTCAGCCTGTCCTGCGAACCAGAGGTTGTGTATGGGATGGGAGAGGTTAATTCTCAGCCTGTGTGCATGTAGGCTCATGGGAGGTGCTGACTTTTCTCTTCCTGGAAGCCCCGAAGCTTGCACGGCTTACCAGAAGCCTGGCTAGTTGGCTTCTTCTTGGATCCCCTCCGCCCCAGTCCCACCATGGCCAATTCTCAGGAGGCACTGACTTTTCAGTACCATTTGGTGCTGGTATATGAATGCTCAACAAGCCAAATTTGCCATCTTACTTTGAAAACCATATTTCCTTGACATTATTTGACCTTGTGCTTTGGTAGTACACCAGCACTACACACATTTTAGACAAAGAGAAATAGCGATCACATTAATTCATTTAAATTTGTACTTTTATTAAACCATCCATAACATCACTCTTCACTCTACTTGTTTACACGTATCCAGAAATAATAAAATCTGATAAAAAAAATCTCCTGAAGTGTGAGGAAATAGGAGTTGGGGTAATCAAAAAATGCCCTGAGATCAGTTAAAATGCGCATTTGTTCAGAAAACACGTTTGTTCTTTGTATAGTAGAAGGAAAGATACCCTTCGAGTAAGGTCATGATTCTCAACCATAGAGACACATCATACTCACGGGAAACACTTAAGAAATGTGAATTCCCACTGCACCCTCAAAGATGGCAAATTAATTTGAGTTAGGGTAGGGCTGAGCCCCAGTCTGCTTGTTTTTTAAGGACCAAGATTAACTGAATGTGCTACCAGGTCTTTAGTTAGAGTTAAGGCAATCAAGATTTGATTCATTACTGTGAAAAATGTGACGAGCTAGTAAGCCCTTGTGAACCTCAGTTTCCTTATCTGTAAAGATTTATTTTTAAATCTACTTCATAGAACATCATGTATGGGGAGAGGATGAATATGTGAGTACTCTCAACAGAGACCCAGGTACATAGTTGACATGCAACCAAGTATGAGTTCCCTTTCTGTTTATAATTCAGATTAAATGAAATGTCTTTTCCTCTTGTTTCTCTTGTTTTTGTCCCCTAATACTTTCCATGTATTTTCTAGAAGTAATCCAAAGGTACAAGAGGAGAAGGGGGAGGAGAAGGAGGGCAAAAGCACTTTTCTTTTTTTTGCAGGTTATAAAACCTCTCTAGCTCTTACCCAAATGTAAAGTGATCCTGAACAAGCACCAGCATCTGCAGGACCTGAGCCATGCTGAGGGAAGGAATG